CAGGGAAATAGATTTTAATGAAAAAGTTTCATAAAGAGCGCGAACGGTAGTGTGATGTAAAATTACTCATGCTAGAAATTTTCATAAAAGTGACTCGAAAAACGGCACTAAGTCAGTAACCTGTGGCCACGATTTTAACAAAACTTGTTTTATTCTGTTTCTATTCTCATTTCTCATATTCTCTTCATATTTCTGTTCTCATATTATGCGCCGTTTTTTCTGTATTTAATTACAGACAAGCAAACAATCTCAGAGTTTTGTAGTATATAGAAGATAGACAGATAGATGAAACAATCAAGCTTCAGATGAATTAATATTAATACTTCTAATGCCATTTGTTCCATTTTAGATCCATTTAAAAATGATTTTTATGGCATTAATGTTAGAAACTTTATTTCTATTACTATGTATATATATATAATATAGTAAAAGATATAGCTCCAAAATTATTGTATCAATTACATTAACTATCAATAGGTGACCAAAATCAGCACTCTAAAGCAATAATGAACTTAATATAAATTCAAAACTCTATTTAAAAAACTTTAAAACTTACTGGTCCTTATCCAAAAGTCATAACAGAGATTGCCTGTGGTAATAGCATCCAAAAGCATTGGGAATATTCCATCTATCAGACAGAATGCAAAAAGCAGATAAGAAACCAGTCAGCAGTCATGGAAAATATAATAAGGGTACAGAGTTGAGTGTTTACACCCACAATGTCTCAACTCTTACTGCCTTTCACTGTCTGCAGCCAGTTGTGGGAAGCCAGTTACCCTTAAAAAGATGTAATAAAGTTGAAAGTAGAAATAAGATAAAATCAAGCCACCAAAAAAATATATTTCTACTTAACAATGCCTACCATTCTTCACATTGTTCATTTAAAAAGAGGAATAGGGATCATCAAAAAAGTATAAAAACAAGTTGAATTAAAATGCAAAGATCATATTTTCAATCCTAGAACTATGGACTAGTACACAAAAAAGTACACAAACTGGACTGGAAATTGTGTCTACATTATTTTATCAAACTACAAATCCCTATTTTTACTCCACTAAAATTAATAATTACTGTAGACATGGAGTCAAAATAGGGACCTGTAGCTTGAGAAAATAATGTAGGTACTACTTCCAGCCTAGTTTTACTTTCTTTAGAAGGCTTGAAAATATAATATTGCATTTTGATTCAATTTCCTCCTTTAATTTTTTGACTATCCTTATTCCCCTTTTTAAATTAACAATTTGTAATTATCTTGTTTAAAAAACTGAAAGCTTTTAATATATACAATTTTCTAAGCATTATCATGTAGATCATACATATATAAAACACATAAACCTGTCCTTTGCTGCCAAAAAGAATTCCTATACAATCTACACATCCTTCAGTAGGTCTCTGACATTTCCTGATTGGCTTAAGGACATGCCAATCAGTGATTGCCTTACTGGCCTATGTTGATCTGACTCATTTTCCAGATGGTTCTGCTATGATTAGTGTCTGGCAAAAAGCTTCATCAGATATTTCCTTTGCAACATCTCAACTAGCAATTGGTCCAGTTATCAACGCTATTTTCAAGTTTTGAACAACTCGACTTTCAAGATCTACATGTGCCGATGTTTCCGTTTATCAACATTATATTTTAAGATCTGTGCAAGAACTTGGCTAACAGATGTTCCCGCATATAAAAGCTATCTTCAAGTTTTGTACACAAAAAACTTTTCATAGAAGTTTATCTTTGCTTTATTCTTATCATGTGTATAAAATCTAAGAATTAAAATTTCATAATTATCATAATGCAATATGTTCAAATTAATGTAAGGACAAAGTCTTCAGATTAGGTATATGAATATACATTAAAAAATTTTACTTGCTATGCACACTTCATGGCTATGGCACCAGGTTAAAAAATTTCAAATACTTTTAAAGACACAATAGATGGAAATCCCAATTCAGTATACTTGTGAGGAAACTGTAACTTGAAGTAATAAAAGTGATTAAAGAAATTTTAACCATACCATCAGCAACACAATGCTCATTTGTCTGAAGTTATTTACCTATGGGTACCTCCATTGACTTTTTAAACATATTTTTCTAAAGTGTTTGTCACCATATCACTTGTAGGTCTATGACTATTGATTATAGAATCCCTAATAACATGAGTCACTCAAAACAATTTTAAAATACCATCAGTATCAAAGTTATTCTCAGTAATTACTCATAGAAAATGAGTGGTTTAACCCAATTATTTGGTCAGTTATGTACCCTTAGTATCATAACAGGAAGAAACATAAAATTACTCCATATGATGCAATATTTGGACCTCACTGATAGTTTACAAATCATTAATTTGAGGGTTAAGTAACATGCAGAGTGCCAAAGAGAAGGTGAAAGTATGGTAATAAAACATTTTTGGTAACATTTTAAAAAAAATTTTTAAACATTTTTTAAAAAGCACAAACATGTAAAAGTATAGTATTCTGGTAGTACATATCTCACTTCTGCAATGTATATTTCTTATTTACAAATTTTGTAATTTTCTTAAGATCTTATTCTGAAACTCTCTAAATCCAATTGAGATCACATGATGAACTGCAGCCTCAGGTACTGTGTTTTATAGCTTGACTGATCAAGGAACTAATCTACTGCTTCATGGGATAATTACGTTATGTACTTCTTGACCATATGTTTAGAGAATACCTTGTGGCTGTCACGTGGAACAGTGGTATTTATGCATATCAGTGCCCTTTTTCTGATTGGTCTGTTACAAAGAGAATGTGCCATGTATAGACAGTTTAACACTTTTAAAGAAGATTAAACTTTGAACCTAAAGGAGTCAAGATGTGCTGTGAATTTTGTCCTTGTTGACAACATTCTTCAAACCACTTATTGTAGGTGTTTTATTCCCTGTGATTTCTACTTGAGTATGCTTTATTTTCAAACTAAATATTTCACTTTTTAACTTCAGTATTGTATCATAATCTTTCTTTGTTGCAGCAAATAGGGTTTTATTTTTTGTTCTGACTTCAACACCATGTCATGTCTCCTTTATTCCACCTGTCACTAATCATTTCACATTTTTTATGTATATTAGATTCACTTTTTTGCTGATATCAAGTTACTGTGCAAGTGTAACCATGGTTTTTCACAGATTACTTCAATATAATAAAATTTGGTGCCAGTCACCAGGCTCTAATTATCATGATTATGGTAGCTGATTTGTGTTCTTGATCACTTCAAGTTACACTTATCTTCTTTCTTTCTTGGACTCTTAACAAGAAATTATACAAAAGAAGCCTCTACAGTCTGAAAAGACTTTAAACAAAGAGAAGGAGAAGAAGACAGGTTTAAAGTTGAGAACAGAGGACCCCACTATCAAATGCAGAATGCCCCCCTGCATTAACAAGAGCATTCCAAAGATTTTCTATCCAACCACCTGCCGAGATGGCTGAACCACATTCTGGATCATCAGGTAACAAGGGTAAAATCAGGCAATCTAATGAAGACCATCTGAAATTAAGGGAGCAGATGACAGTTTCCTAAATAGGCATGGTCAACTGTTGATTTGCTAAGGCCCCAGTTGTAGTTGTCTCTATAAAGAGTGGTGATACTACTCTAATACTACAGATGTCCCTCATTGGATAGCAGCTGCAGGTGTAGCCAGAGATGAGTTGCTGTGGATAGACCAAGTTTGCTGGCCTGCTGCTACATGCTTCTTGGAGGCATGTCAACAGTCACAGCAGATACAGGATTTACTATCACAGCCTTCAATTGACATACTCTGGATAAGCAAGGAGCTTTCTTGTTATAAGAGGAGAAGCACTGTTAATTTGTGCCTTTCTGACATGGCAATGAGTCTTTCAAGAGAGCATGAGAACATGCAGCAAAATTTAAGATTTCCAACCACTAGAGAAGCCAGTTTCTGTGCTGACACCAGCTTGGCAATTAATTCAGCATAAAAAACAGCAGGAAGTAGCAAGGTGAAAAATAACATGCCTCCATATTTTAAGGGCTCAGCAGAGGAAGATTTAAATCACTTCCTTAACTGGTGTCACCAGGTTTCTTCATGGAATTCCTTGACCAAAATTTAAATAGTGTGGTACTAGATGCTGCTGAATAGTTGGAACCAGATCAACTCTGCATTTATAAAGCCACAGTTTGAAAGTTGCATTAGCAACTTGACATGTTAGAAAACTGAGCCATCTATCATGTGGAATTCAAGGCTCATAAACATGTGCAAGAGAAATCTTAACTGCTTATGCTAATGAGCTACAATGCTTATCCAGTACAACATGCTCTAGAATTGTGTCAATAAACCAAGAGGATATTTTGTTTGATAAGTTAATAATGGGCCTTCCTAGCAAGTCTGTTTGACATTACTCAGACATTAGAGACATCATACCTCCAACTGAAGACATGTAGTATGAAATTGTAATTTCAGTCCAGTTGCTAGAGCAATAGAAATCTACAGCTGAAGCTGAAGTTGCTCTTCCAGATACAAAAGATCGAAATGCACTGATCATGCATTTTTGAAAGCAAATGTCATACAATGATGTACTTTAATTTGAGTAGCTGTCAGTCAAATGGTAAAAATACTTCTAATCTACCCCACTGTCTGTGCTAATGATGTGGATAGAAAGGCATTCTGGTACTTAAGATGATGGAAAAACACATGCTGTGCTGTTGAAAATTTTGATACAGTATCTTACCACTTTATACAAAAAATTGTTCTCAACTTACACTGCCCTCTCTAACCATTATTTATGCTCACCATTAGCCTTGATACTCCCACTTACCTTCACATATGTTAATGTGAGACATTTGCATACTAACATGCAAATGATTATGCAGCAACCATCCACCAATAGGAGTGTGACACTACCCCTATTGTGACTAGTGCCATCTCTAATCTTGCAGCCCTTAATCTCTTCTCGATTGGCAATGTTACAGTTTGTACATGTTTTTGCTTGTGTTTTCAGACAGATTTTTTTCTTAATTCTCAAAGTTTATAGTTTAAATTTTTGGAGTTAAACTTTTTTTTTCTCTCAACTCCACTTATCACATACGTGCAATTCCATGTGGCTTCTACCTCAATGGCTGTAACTACTACAGCTGATTTGCCTGCCATATCAAAGGCATTTGAGCATGTTATCAGCTCAGGATGTGATGGCTGATTCCCCCAGGAGTTAACTACATTTTTTCACTTCTGAGCACATGGTGATTGCCCTCTTATACCTTGTAATGTAGAATATACATGATGATGAGTATTTGAGCTGCCTAGTTCCTCCTCCTGCCTATGACTCACAGGTGTCCAGGCCTTCTTTTCCCTTTTGTAGACCTAATCAACCAGGTATATGTTTTATCATTCCCTTTCCTTCTCTTTCTTTTAGTTCTATTCCTGCCCATCTCAGTGGTGAGCTGTGGGGTCAGTTTTAGTGTTCCCTGCACCACTCGAGTTATTGGGGTTTCCAAGAGTAGTTTTGGGGACCAGTTAAGTTTGGGAGGCATGGATATCTCGACCTCTCCATGTACTTTGGATGGCATGCTCTAGCATGTCATGTTTCTGACTTCCCTCTATAGGCTTGCAGAATTTCAAGTAGCATATCCCTTTTAATTCGGTTTTAGAGTATAGCATTTTTGTTTTGTACTAGGTGATTTTATTTGGGGGGGGGGGGGCACTCCTGAATCTCAGGAACCCAGGGTTAGGTAGGTCAGCCCTGTTGCATAACTTCACTTGCCTTCCTTTTCTTCCACACCCACCTTGTCCCCATTCCTTCCCCTGGTCAGTTCTGGCCTCTCCAATATTTGCAGTTCACCATTGGTCCTTTGAGCTCTGTTTTCAGGGCACCCAGAAGTCTTGGTGACTTTAGAGGGGTTCTGGTCCGGTGGGGCTGGGCTCATGTCACCTCAGTAGGACAGTGTGATGTATATGGACTTCCAGCATTAGGGTTCAGGGCTCGATTCCACATGTTGGAAGTGGTAATTGGTCCATTTTGGCTTTGTTCTAGATTATTCAAACATTATTACTCCATCAGACATGGTACAACAATGTTCTAAACAGCTTTGCTCAAGTTGAAGATAATTTTTCACAGATCTTTGGGTTCTGAGGTGAATTTCTATTTTCTGCCAGAGTATTTACGACATGCTTTGGTATTTGCTTTGCAAGGGTGCCATCATAAGGGGAGATCCCTATATTTGGTCCTTATTCCCATTTTTTTTTTTGTCCCTTTGAAGTTAGGGGACTGGTACTCTATCATTGCTTGGTCGATTCTGTATTATTTATTAGTCCTTTCACATATCCCCATGGGGTCGTAATTAGTCCTTTGTTGAGTTTTCCCTCCTGTTACGTGGAGCTTGAGGGTTTTTGTGTCTAATGCATTCCCCCTTCATTAATGTCTCTCCTGCATTCTGATTTTCTTTGGGTCAATAGGGGTTGTGTGTTTTCAGTCCAGACTTCGTTAGACCTTTCCTCAGACCCTTACAATTTGGATTGCTGGGTCTTTGCCTGTCTTCTTCCTTTCCAGGAGCTGTCATTTCCACCATGGCATGGATGTCTGGCTTCCTCAAAGCCAATCCTGCCTTTCCTTACTCATTTCTTCTGAGAGTAGAGGTTTAGGTTGATTGGTTGGTGAGAGTGGAATTTTTTTTTCTTCCCCCCTTGCCATAACTTGTTCCTCTTGGATATGTTGTTTTATTACCTACTCAGTTGGGCCCAGTCTTCTCCATTTTTGGTTTAGGGCTAGGGTAATTCTAGTTTGTAGCCTCTCCTCTACTATTTCTCCAATTTTGCATGAGGTTCTCTCTCTCTCTCATTCAGGGATGTGGGTTTCTTGGGAAGCCATTATCCCTCTTGGTCAAGTTCTCATATGTGAGTTTGTTGGTCCAGTGGGGCCTCGTTTGGGATCCCTTGGATGGTCCCTTCATCCTTCCTCCCTCTTTCCAGACAGACTTTGCCTTGTTGGCTGGATTGGGACAAAATTTTTTTGGGTATTTCGGAGAATTCCACTCCTCATCAGTGACCCTGGACAATGAAATATGAGACCAAACCGAGATTTTATAGTAGTGAGGTATCGAAAATCAAAATGGTATATTTAAGTGTTTTACACTCAAAATAACACATAATAATCAGAAATGATGGCATAATATTATATTCAACCTTTTGTGTGTGTTTTATTCTTTGTTTTGCTGTTTGCAGAACAGACTGTATGGTGAAATGTGTTTGGTGGGAGCACCTGAAATTTTGTGAGGTGCAGTAGTCAAGCTATTTTTTTTCCACTTTTTTGTAATAGTTGAATGCTGGTTTGGTTGGTCTATCCTTTAAACTGGGCAGGTTGCTGATTTTGTGTACATACTTTACTGGGGTGAATTTTGGAAATCTTGGGGCTAATCTTAATACTTTTCGTTAAATTTGTAGTTTTTTCAAGATTATTTTTTTGCATAGTTTATCTTCATTATTTTGTTCCAAAAGGGTTTATTTTATTTGCATTTAATATTTTGTTTATAGGTTTATTTTCTTTTTTGTTAACATTCATTCTGCATTTTAAAGTGTTTCATCACATATTTTTGTTTCATATGTCATTTTAAAGTGTTTTATTTTCTCTGTTTTTCTTTTTTTTTGTTATCTGAAGGATCTTGTTTTACATGTATTTTAAAGGGTTTCACTTCATACTTATTTTGAAAGGGTTTATTTTTTTCCATCATTTTTTAAACAGTGTACATTTTGAAAAGGGATTTATTTGACATTTTAAAATTTGTAAAGGGTTTCATTTATTTTACAGACTTTTATTTTGTATTTGTAATGCTATTCTATTTTAAGAGAGTTTGTTCTGAGCAGTGAGTGTAGTATGGAAGCATGTAACTTCTGACAACTTTGATCAAATAGAGATTCTTGTTAAAGGATAGAATAGCACTAATACTGAAGAATTTGGTCCATGTGTTTTTCAATTATTTTTGTTTTGTCATTTTATTTTGATGAAGACTAATATCACTCAATGCGCCTCTAACTAGTATGTATAAACTGTAAAGACTTTTGCAAAATGGCAACTTGACCCTCATTACAATATTCAAGCTGTTAGGAAGGGCAATAGTGGAGATATATACAACTCTCACATATTCTTTATTTTTTATTTACAGAATTCAAGATTTTCATGAGTTTGATTCTGGAACTCTCTAAATAAGTTTGAGGCCACTCGATAAATTACATCCTAAGGTGTTACTTTTTGTAGCTTGAATAGTCATCTACTGTTTCATGAGATAATTGTATTGTTGCCTCATGACCTTTGTGCTTTAAAGATACCTTGTGGTTGTCAAATGAAGCAGAGATATATCTGCAATTCAGTGCCATTTACAGGGAGAATGTGCCTTTTAGAAAAGATTAATTTCTGATCCTAAAGGAGTCAAGACTTTATGTAGAAGTTCATGTTCACAACTTTCTTCAGACTGCTGGTTGTGTATGTTTCATTCTTTTAAGCTTATTTTTCCTACTGAAATACAGTTTACTTTCAAATTAAATAATTTAATTTTTAATTTCAACATTCTACCATAGTTTTTCAACTAAATGATTAGTTCATTTTTTAGTTTTTCTTTCTTTATTTATTTCCACAAATGAAGTGTTTTTTGTTTTATTTTTATTGACTCCAACACCATGTCTTGTTTCTATCTGTCACAAATCTGTATATTAGATTCAAAAAGTCCTTGTTTCTCAGAGATAAGGTAACTGTGCACAGGTCAGACCTTGGATTACCACAAAAGTATACATGTATACACATTAATTTTCTTTTTAAAATCTATGTTTGATATTTTAAATTAGTAAAACATTCATTGTGGGAAAGTATCGAGCTATTTAGTCCCTTTTTTATCATTCCAAATAAGAAAAACATTTTACAACTACAAGGTGCTGGAATACGTGCTTGAAAGTATTCTTAAATATTCTGTAAGGTGAGCAAAATAAAAGCATTGTCCAGCTCTTTACTGTGTTTTAGAACTATGAATTTGTAAATATGTAATAATTGAGATAGCTTTCTAGCTGTATTAAATAGCTTGAAAATCTGAGAATAGTTAGTGGTAATGTTTTCTGTTTTATTTATAATTGTATATAAATTAATGTCTTTCACCTACTTGCGAAAAAACTTGCTCCTAGATAGATTTGTTACATTGTCATCTCTAACCTCTTTTAGGCAAGCCCAATCAAAGTATCTTCTCCTGACAGATGCAGACTTTCAGACATCTCCTGGTTTTAAGGAAAGATTTTTTGCTGTTTTGAAACAATATTCATTTAACCAGAAAACTGCATTTATTGTTCCTGCATTTGAGTACTTGGAACAACCACAGGTAAATGCCATCAATTATATTTTTAATTTATTTTAGTTGTAATGCTTAAGATTTTAGAAGAGTAGAGTTTAATCAATTTTTAAATTTTATTTTTACAAATATATATATATATATTTGTTAGTATTTGTCCAAAATATTTGATATTTGGTTAATGTATAAGTAAGTAATTTTTAGATATGTGAAATAACACATAATATTAGTTCATGTTTGTGTTTTTCTTAATTTTGTGGGTTTCTCCAAATTTTAATTCAAACAGAAATTTAATATAATGGGTAGGAATCACAGAAGATGTTTTATCACTTCTACATTTTCAATGTCAGAACTATTGTCTCTTTTTACCTCCATTCTTCTACTATTTTGCATAGCCAGTGACCAAAAGCTTGGCCACTTTAACTTACTGTAGTAAACAATATATACTCTTAACCCATCATATAGTAAGCTGTGCTTTATAGCATTTACCTTTATGAAACATTATAGGTGGACTTGCGTATTTCATTTCTTTATCATATTGGGTTGTTCTTTATTTTCTGTTTTTTATTGATACAATGTCCCTAACAGTTAATTTTCTAGTTTTCAGTATTTAATAGTTTTCAAATTTGGGTATTCCTGTAGCCTTTTAGAAATATGGATGCTATTTCTCATAGTCTTGTCAAGAAATAAACTTTTTGTTCCTCTCGTCACCTCCTCTTCCCTTGCTTAAGCCCATTAATACTTTCAGTTAGTATTGTACAAGCTTCATTCTGTTGAGAAGATTTACAACTTCATCACATATTTCATACTGTTTCCTACTAGAATCTCTTGGCCAATCATCCTCATTCAGGTTATTCAACATTTAACTGATTTCCACTTTGCACCTACTCAATTTAATATGGTCACATTTTTTTATTCTTCATTTCTTTGTTTGTACAGTAGTCCCAATACCCGGATAACGAATGACTGTGTTCAAGCTGTGCCAGTTGCTATTGCCAAGGCTTGAGCATAATGGTTTATATACTGTATAGATAATCAGATAATGAAGCATTTTGGTATAATAATGCTTATGATGGATAGCAGTTTAATAAAGATAACTTAAAATTGTTTTTTTTTGTGTTTTATATAAAATAATTTATCTTGGATTAACTTTCCAGAAGCAGGAATATTCTTAGCTCTAGTGTCACAGAACTCATCCAACACTAGCTTGTTAAGTTTGTGATTTGCAGTTTTAGGTACTTTGGTGACTTTCATGTTCAAATTACAACCACTTTCCCATAAGTCCATGATTTTAGCTCTACTGGCAACAATTGTTTGAATTTGTATTTTGCCAACCTACATTTCAACAGCAATATGAACATATTTGGCACCCTTTTCATGCATTTTGAATACTTTGACCTTTTCTTGGAGACTAAGGTGTTTACGTTTTCACTTTTCTTGAGGCATTGTGAGACAGAATTGATCCTTGTACAAAAATATAAATGATTTGTTCTTTGACATGTGTCATATTTATACAGCAAGCCACAGATTAACTTCTCCCTGGGAGAATTACTTATCAATGTCATGCATCATCTGACATTTCGAGAAAACACTCACTCTGATTGCTGATAGGCTGGTGAGGGTTTTCCCACCCTGTGTTATGGTCTCATTTTCATGGCTAATTGCACACTACTCCTCAGAACACTCACGTGTCAACTGTTCTACTCAAGCACTAATTGTGTGGTGTAGCATCTAATCACTCACCCATTGCAGACAGCAACAAACTACAGTTGAATTCTGATGGATATTATAGTACATAACATGTACATGTAAAATCAAATAAATGAACACACAACATGTTTATAGATTTTTATTGAAATGAAGAAAATCTGCTATCTGTTGTTATTTGACCTTCTGCACAAAAATCACGGTCTTATGTCGCATCTGTCAGGAAGTCATTCATAGGATGTCAGATCAATGTAAAATCGTTCTGTACACAGAAAAAAAGTCGTACCTAAAATGAATTTGTTATTGGGAAAGGTCGTATCCACCAGGGACTACTGTATATGGTACAGAGATGGTTTTTGTGGAATTTATAAGGCTTTGTTTCAGCCATTTCAAATTTCACTTCTTAAATATTACAGGTGATTCTCTGTTTATCTTTACAGTTTAGATAGATTCCTGTTCAACTTTGTTGGGTCCTTGGATTTCATTATGCATCACTGTTCTACTATCAAAATTGTTTGTTAACAACTCAAATTTTTATAAAAGTTTTTTAATGCACTGTATTTATTTTGTAATCATATTTTTTCAGGATGTGCTCTAACTAATACAGTGTACTTAAAGCTATTTTATTAATTTTTCATATTTCAGTGGTGAAAAAAAAGGGGACATCATATAGAAGTAAATTTTAGCTACTCTGTGTTCAATTTATAATGTGTTTACAATTACATTTTATTTTGATGAAGATTAATATCGTTCAACATGTCTATGATTAGTATGTATGAACTGTAGAGACTTTTGCCAAATGGCAAGTTTACCTTCATTACCATATTCAGTCTGCTAGGAAGGGCAACAGTACTGAATAATATTGTTTGCAGGTGACATGGTTTAATAATATTTTTTTTTACTATTCTTGTACAAGAGTTCAAATTATCTTTTGCTTTGTTTAATGAAGTTCAGATTCAGCAATCTTAAGATTTTTTTAATTTCACAAGTTTCTGTTTATTCATTATTTGAGACAGGTGTGATAGGTTCTTGTGTTTTACAACACAGACATCAATATTAGCTAGTGCCTCAGTTTACTAGAGGTCAGCCATTTTTACTCAGTTTAACTTGTCAATATCTATCTTAGTGGTCAAGTTGCATGTTTTTTCCCCAGTATTATATTTGATCTTAGTTTTACAATGGTAGTATTCTTTGTGACTAATGTTCATTCTTTTAGTAGTTTTACAAGATCATTTTCATTCTTTAACAAAATTCCAATTGCTTGACACATAAAGATAGTATTTTTTCTTCAATTTTGCTGCTGCCTTTTTGTGCCATATATTTTCTACAGTAAGTTATCAACATTTTACTTGTTCCTTCACACACACACACACAAAATTACTTAGCCATAATCAGTCACCATAGCTTATGCACAATGCTAAAATGTAATCTTATCAGACAACCTTTTATTTTGAGAGATAATCTATATAAGCAGAATTATGGAAAAGCCATGGGGAACAGGTCGAAGCAGTATTTATGCATACATTCAAAATAGAATTCATTAATACATATATATAGATGAACACAACAGACTTCACACTGAATACTCAGTTAAATTTTTGCTTTATAATTTTGTTTATTTCTGACTTATTAATGAACATGCATTTTTGTTTTGTAATAAGTTTTTCATGTTTAATCTGTTTTGGTTGGTTCTTCAGGTATTTTATTTGACACTTGTGTAAGTAGAATTACTTTTTTGAATATTTTTTATTATTCAGGTGATCTGTGTTTTGTTAAATCAACATTAAATAACCTTTTTTGTTTTAATAAAATTCGAACAATTTTTAGCAAGTGAGCTGATTATTCACAAATTAAATTTAGCTAAATTGAGAATTACTAAATGATTATGCAGCAACCCTCCACCAATAGGGGTGCAACACTACCCCTATTATAACTAGTCCACTCACTAATCTTGTAGCTGTTAATCACTTCTCTGTTGGCAGTCTTATTGAATAGACATGTTTTCGCTCACAGTTTGATTCACTTATCCAGAAGTTTTTTTACTTTTTAATTTTTCTACTTTAATTACATTGCAGGACCTCTTGTAGGTATCCCTCATGGTCTGTAGCTTCATAAATATGTGCCTACTGGGCTGTACACTCAATGACTAACATGATTAAAGCAGACAAAGATTACTGCCCATTTCTGATGATATGTGGCATTGAGGCTGTTCCTACTGTGGACCTGATGTACAATTCCAGATGCTTCTAGGGTTGGTTGATTGACTCCTTTGACATAATGTTTCTGCTTTTCTAAATAGGGTATCATGGTCATCCATTGCACTGTTTCCAGTCCTGGAGTCCTCCAGACTCTCCAACACATTCCCTCTTTCTTCTAGTGGAGTATGGGAGTCCTTGCCACTTACCAGTTTCTAGCCACTGGGGTGGTGGACCTTTGAGGCCTGTCCTCCTGATGTGCACAATACCACTCAGATGAGAGTAGGGTGGTGGCACTCTGCAGCTGTAGATAGCATGATGCTCTTTCTACCATGGACCTGATGTATAATGTCACCAGGTGTTGCATGTAGCACTCCTCCATATATTGCAGTTTGCCCCTCCAGTTGAGGCACACTCTTTCCTACCATCTGCCAGATGTCGGTTCCCAGGGGTCGAGTATTGGTTGGAGCTCATATGTGTTTGGATGGTATCCTCCTCCTACTGCAGACTGGATGATACATTCCCAATGCTGCCAGGTTTTGGACTGGAGATGCAACCCCAAATTGCAGTCCGTCTACCATCCATTGGTTGTTGGTTCCCAGTGGATCTGGTGTTAGTTGTGTTGGAGATGCACGCATGTGGAGATATCATCTAGGTATAGATGCTCCTCTTTTCTGGAAGTACCTGTTTTTGAGGTGAAAGGTACAGAACCTTCTTCCTATCGTGGACCTGATATACAATAGTTGGTTGGAGCCGGACCAGCTACGTAAGTCCTCACATGTGTTTGAATGGTACCCTCCTCCTTCTGCAGACTGGATGATAAATTCCCAATACTGCCAGGTTTTGGACTGGAGATGTGACCCCAAATTGCAGTCCCTCTTCCTACTGTCCATTGGTTGTCAATTTTCAGTGGATCTGGCGTTGATTGTGTTGGAGATGCACGCATGTGGGGACAATTTCTTGGTACAGATGCTCTTCTTCCATGCCAGTACCTGTTTATGAGGTGAAAGGTAGAGGACCTTCTTCCTATCGTGGTCCTGATATACAATTCCAGATGCCGCCAAGTGTTGGTTGAGGTCACACTCCCATTTACAGTCTGTCATGCCTAGCCATTCTACACCAGGGGTCTCATTATTTTTGTAATTTTTCTTGGGGTTCCTCCAATTTTCCACCCTTTTGGCAATGCATTACTAAACGGTGAAGAGTATACCTGGCTCACAAGTGGCGTGGTATCCCATAGGATGTATTCTTTTTAATTCCTTCTCACACCCCATTGTTTTCCTTTGGGCACTTCTTAAAGGGGAATCATCTTCTCACTGGCCCTCCAAGTTCAGTGTGGGATTCTAGCTTTTTGTGAGAGGAGCTAAGGTATTGTATCAGAAGTTAACATTTTTGTAAACTGAAAATGTATTTCCGGTAGATACTTACCTCCTCTCACATTTCCCACCCATCCTCCCCACTTTTGGTGTGATCTGACTAATCTTGAAGTGTTTAACAGCTGCAAGATTAGAAAGGGCCCTTGTTACAATAGAGGTAGTGTCACGCTCCTATTGGTGGAGGATTGCTGCATAATGATTTGCATACTAGTATGTAGAGATAAGTGGGAACATCAAGGCTAGTGGTGAGAAAATATATGAGCTGATAGAGGGCAGTATAAGTGAAGAAAGCTTTTTGTTAGGGGAGGTAAGTATCTATTGGAAATATATTTTCAGTTTAAGAAAATGTTAACTTTTGTGTAATCCCACTTTAGGAGATTTAGATTAGTTGTAAATCTCATCTCTCCAAAAGTATATTATTTTCAAAACAAACAAACTAAATTTTGAGTGATATGGTCAAGTGGTTATTATAAATCACATTATAACTACATTTTAATGTAATGATTATGACCCTCAAGTTTCAATGACCCCTGATCCACCTAAGCTGAACAAAATTGAAGTTTAAAAAAAAAAATATATATATATATATAAGGCTTACAATGGAGCAGAACACAGATAGCCATTTATATAGCTTTGTGCTTAACAACAACCAAACATAACAGAAATAATTTGATTAATTGGTTTTGGAATAATAAAAATGTAATGATTGGAAACACTCATTTTGGTTAATCAGTTAGTTTACGTAACACTAATTGGTGCAAATGCTGCTCATAGGTAATAAGTTATATTCGTAAATCTATTACATTGCCCAGCACAACAACTTACATAAATAAACTAACATTTTAATAGTTGTAGCACATAAAAGCACAATTGACACAAACCAACATGCACCAATACAATTGACATAAATTAACACACATCAGCACAATTGACATAAATGAACATATATTTAATAGCTATAGCATATTTTACATTTATATGTTGACAATTCACATTACTTTTATTATTTACTCTAGTTTCTATAACTTTGGTAACATATGCTTTAATATTATGTTATCTTTCATGTCTCCTAAGTTATGAATACCAACAACTCAGTCAGCACCTTCTTCACACCCTGAATAAAATGTAACTTAGCAACCATGACTTTCCAGTTCTTGAGTGAAATTTTATTTTTACAAAATCAGATGGATAAATAGTTAGTACTGACAAGAAAAGTTTAATAATAATGTACAACTGTGACATCAGTGCACCTAGATACATAACTATTATGCAAAGTTATGCTTTAGCCTTTTGCAGAAAGTTTTTAGGAATATTTCATCTCAAAGAAGCATAAATTGGTAATGTTTGACATGAAGTAGTCTCAATTGAGAGGTCTTGTATCTGCTGGAAAATTTACAAGGCAGAGTGTGCACAAGTGTTTTGAACGAAAAAAACCATAAGAATTAACTGATTTAGGGTAGAACATTAATATTAGGTCGTCAAGAAATTAATGTCACCTTTTGGAATACTTTCATCCCCCCCCCAAACAAACGTACATCACGTATAATAATTAAACAAACCATCTAAATGTCACGTTAGTGTGGCCTATATAATGCGTAAAGTTTAGTATACTCTAATCCCTTATAGTGATGCCACATGATGAGACACACATTTAGCATGTAATCCTGTTTGAATACAAAAAGGGAAACAATGCCTCTGTAGCCACAAAGAATATGAAAGAAGTCTTATGGAAATGTTTG